CTGGATCCCTCGCTTTCCAGAGATTCCCGCCGGCATGCTTGATGATAGTGGAACGTTTTCAGGCAGTGCGGCAAAGGAAATTCAGGAAGAGACAGGGCTATCCATTCAACAAGACGAACTCGTGGACATGACTGCTCTTACTGCGCATATTGTCGAGAAAAATTCCCAGAAAGCAGACGATACCAAGGAAGAACTGCAGAATGGTGTATATCCGTCGCCTGGCGGAAGCGATGAATTCATACCGCTGTTCTTATACCAGAAGCGCCTGAAGAGGAGTGAGATAGAGAAGTTGCAGGGCCAGTTGACGGGGCTGAGGATTGAAGGCGAAAAGATTACACTCAAGTTGGTCCCACTTAAAGACTTGTGGAAAGAGGGCTTTAGAGATGGCAAGACATTGGCAGCCTGGGCTCTGTACCAAGGTTTGATCGCTGATGAACTGATATAAATTGATCGCCCATCCATGGCTAATCTGCCCCTTTTTCGTGAATTGTCTTCAAATTGGAGCGAATGGTAATCTTAGGCTCAGTGTTTTAAGACAACACAGTTCATCTATCGGCTATATTTGGCTATACTGTCAGTTCCATTCATAAGATTCATGCACCCAAGTTCCATCGCTTTGCAATCTCAATCCCCTCCGCCAACGTGCCAACCCTAGCGTCGATCGCATACCCTTTTGCCTCCAGTCTTTGTATCTCCGCAAACAACGATTTTAGAGGCACGGTAAAACACTCAATAAACTCATTATCTTCCAAATGCGGCTTTGGATTCTGGTTTTCCGGAATCGACATATCCACACGCACATGGACCATGTTGAGATTCGTATTGCAAAAGCCAGGATCTAGTTATAAAAAAAAAAAGGGCGTTTAACGTTGGATTCTTTTTGATAATAGTTCAAGCACGTCTCCGACTGCATCTAACCTTTCAAACCCAAGAGTAAACAATACATACCATTCCACATGATCGGACTCGTCTGCTCAGCGACTCCAATATAGCCCGTCTCCTCTTTTAGCTCCCGTACCGCGCACTCTTCGGGCGTTTCACCCGCATCGATCAGCCCGGCGGGAACCTCGATGGCGACCTTGTTGATTGGCGGGCGATATTGCTTCTGGAGCAGGAGCTCTGGGCCCGACGGGGTCTGTAGGATTGCTACTATTCCGACACCGTCAATGGAGCAGCCTAGGGGGCGAGTCTACTGATATACAGTCAGCCAGTGTTGCCCAAAAAGGGAAAAAAAAAAATTCCAATAATCCGAGTACCTGGATACTGAATCGTCGGAGTGAAGCATGATGAAGGGTTGTGGATATAAAATCCCCCCACGGCCATCCCTTCTATTCTTTTCAAAATGCCAAAAGAAAACACAGGGAATAAAACGCACCTGTCTCTCTGAGCTTTCCCACGTCCGCTTAACCCCCTCTGGATCCATATAGGTGCATTTTACAAGACGAATCCATCGTGCTTCTGCGGGGTCCTATAAAGCGCCCGACGCCCTCCCCAGGAGAAGAGGGAGGAGGGGTGAATCAGCCCTCGAAAACAACTCAACATTTTTGAGGCCAAATATTGCCCGTCGGGGGAGCAGCAGCTCGTTTGAAATAGAAAACTCCGATTCTACTACCAAGTGTAGAATTCGTTCTCAAGAGACGGCAGAGAGTAAGAAGAATCAAAAGGTTTTCTTCACCGTACCAGTGGTTCCGTAGAGAGTAATATCCCCCTTCCTTTGGTTTGGGCCATGATACCGGCGAAGAGATAGGTATTAGTTATAATTCTGGAGATTTGTCGATATGGAATTTGTCTGTGGCGACAGATAGAACTCGTTAGCAAGTGGAAGATGAAAACTGTGGGAACCTGGCGTGGTAGTCAAGATAAACAAAACATCGTATTTACTCCAAGTTTACTAGTAAGATCCGAGTCCTATCTATGTCTTTAATTCACGGCACAAGCATCTTTGCTATCGCTGCCTTCCACACTCTAGTCAATAAAATTCGATCTAATTAACTAAGATGAGGAAAAATTCTATAGACCACATCAGCCCCCCCTGAACAGCCATTTAATTCTCCCATGTTTCTGCTTCTAGTGTATTGCTGAAAAAGACGCTGTAAATGGTACTGGGACTCCATTCGGAATCCAATCCAGGGCCTTTACCCTGTAAGAAGAGTTTCAACCCGTTCAACACAGAAAGAATGTCTTTGTCGTCGGTTTCCAGCAACGGTTCCAGTGACGTGTCCGACGTTTCGTGCGCTGAAGGTGGGTCGAACGGCGCTGTATATCTAGTTTTGAACATGAAATCAAAGAGCGGATAAGAAGAGATTTCTGGCAAGATCGGATGTGTAATTGCCAACCACAGAATCACAGTCCAGATGACTGAAAGCACCAGAAGCTGTAAAACCATAAAGGCAATAAACATGGATCTGTTCACCAATATTCTCGTGTACGGAGAAGCAATGGAGGCTTTTGTATGAAACTCTGGCGGTAGAGAAGCAGTGATGTTTTGCGCTGATAACTCTGTGTTGCCGAAGTTATTCGGGTTGAATTTCCAGAGCGGGAAGGCCAAAATGCTCTGAAACGTTTGGTATAATTCGCGAGACCAGTATTCGTTGCCAAGTTGTGCTTGGGTGCTCCAGAAATGCTCTGCAATCGAGGATGTGGCAGGAATGTTCGCAGCTTTATAATCCAAAAGCCAGCCAAGGGCCGCTTTATAGCCAACAAGGTCGATATCAGGGTTACGAATCGGTTTTCCAAGATTCGAGATTGAAGTAATGCTATAATTTGTGCGAGATGCCACAATATCGGCTTTGCGACTGTAGATGGAGAATGTTGTGGTTAAATTCGGAAGGTTGCTGGCTGCAAGGCATTTGGGCCCCTGGGCATCATCCGGACATACATATAAACCTAAACAGGCATTAATGCCAGCCTTTCAAGTATGAGGACTGACCTACCAGCTATCACTGATCCACTGTTTTTGCGGCTATTTGCCAAACACAGTCTTATCCCGATGACCGAAATTTCATCGCCAAAAACGGTGCAATCGCCATCCACGAACCCATCTCCTTCCTCTATGTTGCGCCTGAACTCCATTTGGGCTGACTGCACGTCGTATATTTGTATTACAGGATCTGAAGGGTGGCTAGTAGGAGGCCACGGAGTCGTCATAATAAGCCCGCCGCTTAGCAAATATGAATCACAGTCGGCATCGTCACAGGCAATTGGGCGGCTGATCGACGAATGCATCGGATTGACAATCAGGCTATAGACGGTGGACAGAGCTGTATATGGCACGACTCGATATGGATACTCTGGGGAGAGATTCTGGAGCTTTTGGATATAAGGGGTGACGAATGAGCCATTGAACTGGCCAACGCCGGCAGTCACATCGTATGTATATACGGCGTCATAGCCGGTGACAAGTAACGTGTTTGCTGCCTTGAGCATCAGCCATTGGACTTTGACAGGTTTATTCGCAGTTGCTTACCAAAAAGAAGGACACCCGACAATAAAACGGCGACCGTGAGTGAAAGTCTTAAGTTGGCCGCTATGGTTAGCTGAAAAGTTGTCAGAGCTAAGAAGAGAGCGCACCTTAACAAAGGCCATAGCCTATCTGCGACCCTTGCCTCCTTTGCAAAGATTATTTTTATCGACCCCCAGTTTCCAGTAGTGGGAGACAATCCAAGCAAAGTGAGAATATGGAGGCCATCATCCCTTCCCGTAAGCGCCCATTGAAGTATTTCAAATACTTTTGCAAGCGCAAGTGTAGCGCATGTAGACAAAAGTCCTTGTGAGAATCGAAGAAGCGTGAGCGTCGAGCTCGTGGAGAACTTGGCTTGAGAGATCCAAGCAGTAGAGAGAAGAAGAGCGGTAGTTGCGAGTCCAGAGAGCAGTAGAAGAGGGAGAGGAGATTTTGAAAATGATTTGGAGTTCGAGCGCGTATGAGTTTGTACTTGTTTTCGGAAGTTTGCGCCCTGGCTGGAAACGGGCTTTAGGGCATTGGCATCTGCGTTCATGAGTTCGTAATTCGCCATCGTCTCTGTAATGTAGAGACTATTTAGAGAAGAACTTTGAAGCGGTTATATGGCTTCTGATAGCAATCATCATGCGCGGCCGTCAAACGGGAAAAGGGTTCATCAAATCTCTCTGCCAACCCGCTGCAGGCTCAGATGAAGAGCTACATCGCACAACATCCGCCAGAAAGTGCCTCGCATAATAACTGTTTCGTTCCAGCCTTGCGCCAATTGCGTGGCGCTGTGACCGTTGTCCAAAGCCCCGGCGGTACCGAGTCCGTGCGTGCCTTGGAAGACGGTCATTGGGTGGGAGCTGCACCCTTCAATTTGATGCTTCGTATGAAAAGAAGTCCTCGATTCTATTCCAGACGAATGGATGTGAAGAGAAGGTCTTTGGCTGGGGCGCCGCACCTGCAGTGGTGAAATAACTAGGCCAATGGGTTGCAGGATAAAAATATCTGGCCTGTGAACAGCCTGTTTCTCTGGAGCTCAAGCTCAGTGGGTTTTCGGGTCATGCAAGGATCTTTTGATGGTTTGGGGTCAAGGCCGAGATCTGCATGCGTTTTCTTCCAGACAGGAACCATCAGGCTGAAGAGCTGCAAATTGGGGGCCACTTCATAATGAACTAGTAGTTATTTAGTTAGGATATATGCAAAGGAAATTGCTTTTCATGGGCAAGGGGCTCGCCACTAGCCTTACGCGACGGCTGGAAGGTCGTTGAATATATTGCTCTCTCGTTCCCGTCGCGGTTGAATCTGGATGAGCAGTAAAAGCACGGAGCATCTCTGTCCTGATTCAAAATGTTTCGCCTCGTTCTCTATGCTAGCTTTATCGTCGGTGCGATTTCACGCAAAGGTAAAAAGTCAAGTAACCGAGATACTTTTGGGACTTGAGTGACTGACGTTTCGCAGCCGATATAAGTTTGTCTGAAAGAATCGTAGCGCGCCAGCAGCTCGATCAATGCACGGCAGCTTGCAAAGTCGGAGTCAAAGCCGTATACCACTACAAATGGTACCCTCATATGTTCTCTAGCACGATCGTGGCTGCGACGGTAGTAAAAATCGTCAATACGGTGGCGGGCACAACGAGAACCAGCACGATATATAACGATCTCCCGAGCGGTTATACCCTTCCGCCCACCAACGAAGACGGAACACAGGTGGCGACTGTCACATACAGTCAGCAAGGGTCAACGAAGACCACCGTTCTGTCCGTGTACAAGGCCCTCGCGTTCGATTGCTTCAGCTAACACACTTCCCCAGCGCGTTTCCAACCAGCTTCCGGTCCTGGGCCGACGGGTACACCTTTCAAGGGGTGCTGCCAACTGAGAAAGACGGAGAAACGACATGCATGTCTGCTGAGGAACCTTCATTCGTTCCGTTCCCGTCCTTCCCGCAGTCAGCGGTAACGGAGACACCGACACATACGGCCGGCCCCGACCCAAAGGGCCTCCTTTTCAAATTCACATCGTTGGACGAGGGAGCGAACCAATACGTGACAGCATACTCGGACCTAGCTGCTTTTCAAGAATGCTCAATCTCGAAATACCCGCTTCCTCTGGTAGCTGAGCCGACAGTCAGGTTTCTGAGCCAAACAGTCACATCTTTCGAAGGCGCTGAGGCTACATCGTACGTTGACTTGTCAATTGACTAGGAGATTTTGCAGAAACTCACACATTCAATAGGCAAGCTAGTGGTCGCGCGGGCCCGACTACGACCTCAGCTGCGTCACCGTCGTTGACACCCCACTCGGTTCTTGTACTCTCATGCATCTTGATCGCGATGGCTGTGGTTCCCGGGTATATATAGTTGATAGAGGAAGCGAGATCGACGGCGTTTGGGGCTTGGCGATAAAAGCATCTTGCATCTGCATGTTAATTTGCTATTATTATGGCATCAGTGTAGCTCAAACATAATATATCAACACCGTGGATTGCCGGCTCATCAAGTGAGGTGGCCGGATAGTTTGCGGTTCATGAAACTCTGAAGTCTGGAGTTGAGTTAACTAGTCAGCTACTCCGTACCCGTGCTCCTTATATAAACCTTTGCCGCAATATCATTATGATCGCGCTCGACCGGTTCAACCTCCTGGATACTTGAATACTAAGATTGGATTTTACTGGGAATGGGCGGTAGAAAATCTTAGTTGTTGGATGACAGCAGCACACCGTTCACATCTGCCACACAGATTCTACAATCGTGTCCCAAACTAGGACGTGCTCAAGTGGCATTGTTCCTATTCCCCAGTTAGGTAGACTACAGTCCGTATTGCGAACGAGTAGTTGGACTAGTAATTAGATAAGGTATCTATGTTTCAATTTTTAAGTGACTAGCTATGCTTGCTGTCTAATGCCAGTAAACTGAATTTCCATTCCTGTACGCCTCCCTCTCCCCAATTGAATGCTGCGAGTACGAGTGTCGAATGGATTTGAAAAAAACAAGATTCGACGTAGAGAACACGCTAAGAACCATCGTATCCCATAACATTTGTATCGAGGGGGCTCGTTTCGTAACTCTTTTTTTTCTTTGATATCCGTTTCATATTCGTGAGAAGACAAGAGAGTAGGGGTCGTACTCAACGAAGCGTCCCAATTCTGTTGCCCATTGATTAAGCAGCCTCGATCTGAGCCATGCAGTTCTCGAATTCAGCCCAGTCCTTCATGACGACCTTGCAGCCCAAGTCAAGGAGAACCTTGGCCATCTCAGTCTGCTTGGTGGTACCGTTATAGCTTCCGACGTAGGCGATGACGGGGATTCCAGCACGAATGGCACTCAGTGCACCGCTCTTGCTGTCCTCAATGGCAACGCATTCAGTGGCTTCCTTCTTGAGTACTTTGAGGGCGTGCAGGTAGATTGCTGGGTCTGGCTTGGTGGTTGGCTTCTCAAGAGAGGTAGCAGCGCTGAACACATGGTCCTTGTGGAAGAATCTCTCCTGGTCGACCTTCTGGATGGAGGCTCTGACGCGGCGAAGCGCCGAGGAGGAGACCACGGCAAGGCCGTACTTGCCGGACTTTGCGAGCTTTTCGAGTTCTTCGGTGGCTCCAACGCAGGGTTTGGCTTTGGCGACGAGCTTGGCGATGACACGGTCTTCCTCCTCCTTCACGTAGCTTTCAAGTTCCTCTGGGCTCAAAGCGAAGTTGAACTTGGCCTGGAGGGAAACCATCATTCCACGGAAGTTCTGACCAACGAAGTCGACGATGAGCTGATCGCCAGTGTAGCGATGGTCGATCTTGTTCTTCTCGAGGATTTCATTTGCAATATCGGCACATGCTTCAAAGGCCAATTCCTCGGAGAGGACAAGAGTATTGTCGCAATCGAAGAGAATCTCGGTGATCTAGCAGAAAGCACTGCATCAGCTTCAGGAGCCCACAATATAGCCTCCACACCATCTCGCTCCCTAGCTGGGATTCTCTAGGAGCACAACGTAGAATCGTAGGACTCTTTGACGATCAGATGGAGCAGATGGAGAACAAACCTTCGGCATGGTGGAAACGTTTAGCAGGACGGTTGGTTCTTAGCTTCTAGTTCTGGGGAGGAGACTGATGGAACGAAGGCAAAGAGTGAGTGTGAGCTTTGGAAAAGCAGCAATGGAGAGAATGAGACGATGCAAGACGAGAGAGAGGCGAAGCGAAGGGCGAATTGAGGGATATTTCAACCAGAGTCAGGGTTGAGATCGAATTCGAAGAAATAAACAAAGAAACCCAGGGAAAGTTCCGGTGCATGGAGGGGCAGGTGGCGCCTCAGATGGAGGGGGAGGGGCATCAACTAATTAACTAGTTAGCCAACTAATAATCAGTTGCCGGGCAGTCTTGCAGCGCCGCACCACGCACCGCGATCCTGAGAGCAGGCGTGGTCTGCTCCCGCTGCGGGAACGCAGTTGATCACCGTCGACACAGGGATGCAGCGTCAACGCCTTGGTTGCGCCCCCCCCGTCATCGGTGCCCACCGCGGCGAGTCGCATTGGCTGGCTCGGGGATCCACGGTGTCAAGGCCAGCCCCGTAACGCCCAAAGCCACTCCCTAACGGACTAGCGGCCACCCCTCTTCGACCTTGGCGGAATTTGGAGTCGCAGCTAAAATCTTTGGTGGCAATCATGAACCGTCGAGCTTCACCAAACACCCGTTTTGACGACCACAGCACAACTAGCGGGGTAGCTAGCCGGCGAACGCCAGTGTCTGCGTCTGTCCATTCTCTTCATCTGGCTCAGGCAAGCACTTTAGACGCATGCAGCGGTATCCTCTCTCACGCATCTGCACGGACTGCGCTGGCAGTGTCTGGTGATGCCTGCGCGCAGAGTCTAAACACGTGTTAAGACAGGTGTCAATCGCCATTCGCATCAAAAGCGGCCAACAAGGTATTCCGTCTGGGCGTGTCGGGCCTCGAGCGAGGATGGCCGGATCGACTTTGTACCCGATCTCCCTCTCCGAAATTGAGTTCCCGTCGCAATCCCAGAATCTGTCACACATCCTCTCAGATCTGAAAAGGTCAACTTTATCTATAACCAATAGGCTGAGGTCGGTGGAGAGTGATGCCCAGTTTGTCCAGGGAGTCTCTGAGCATTATCAGCTGCCATTAGTGGCGAATGAACGCTGCGGGAGCTGGTATATTCCGCCCGCGAAAAAAGGAGGAAGCGCATATTTCAAAAGCACTGATGGACATGCTGGCCAATGGGATTTCAGTCTCCGTCGGCTTAATCTACAAATACTCGATATTATCAATCAGTACACAGGGTATGCGATCCGTATCCTGAAAACATATGTTATCACGAAAGCTGAATGCGGACCAGATGCATCATCGTCGATTCGACAAGAAGAGGGAAGGGTAAAAAAGGGCTGCTCTCCCCATTTAAATGATATGGCTGTTGACCGGTCTTCTAGCGATGCCCGATGCTCTCTCGAAAACGGTTCCTATTTGGAGTGCCGTCATGAACAAGTCCTTGTTTCCCGAGAAACCTGCGAGCCATCATGTCCAATTCCCACCAAGGCTTCTGGGTGCGTCTGAGAAGTCGCAAATCCAAAGTCGAATTGATGGATTTGTGGCTGCCTTCAAAGTGAGCATGCCATATTTCCAAAGTCCTACAGTGAATCTAACCCGCCATCTAGGGTTTGGGTTTGGATCTAGAGGCATTGAAACGTAGAATGGGAAAACCTGTTCGGTTGGAGTGGGCAACAAGGGAATATCCCCTCCCTGAATGCACAAATGATATGGAGTATCACCTCATAGTTTTGTGTTCCGCATCGAAACGCGTTCGAGGCGCCGAAATGTCAGAAGGCGGGTACATCCAAGGTGCAGGCGATGACAGCGAAGGGTGGGCATACGGCCTTACCCCGGATATATTCTGGAAGGAGAAGGACATTCTGCTTAGTACAGGCGAGGAAAGCCTGCCTGGCTTGATTGAAGGCCTGCTTCAGAAGCAACGTCAAGCTGTTTCTACTGAGCAAGCGACAGTGATCTCACCAACCAAGAACGTCTTCATTGGAAAAAGCGAGTCACTGAACGACCCCGCCATTTCTTTTGACTTGATCATCGATTGCCACGGAGACCCTGACTCCTCGCAGGGTACAAGATTGAATTTGGGCTGCGGGACGGGGAAACTCGGGAGTCGCAACCTCCGAAAGGTGTTGGACAGGGTTGAGGAATTTATACCCAATCACCTGAATAAAGACTCGTCTCAGTCCCTACTAGTAGCCTGCGACACAGGAAAGGATCTCTCTGTTGGAACAGCTCTCATGATACTATGCTCATTCTTCAATGACGATGGTAAGCTTTCTTTTACCAGCAAATCTCCTATTTAACAGCCCTAGCTTACAAACGTCCAGGATCTTACACACCGCGCCAACGCGACGAACCCGTAAATAAACAATTCATTCGTCGACGGCTGGCCTGGATAGTATCGTCAAAGCATGACGTGAATCCGTCACGGTCGACCCTCCAATCTATCAATTGGTACTTGATGGAAAGACGAGATTGAAATTTTGCTTCCCAAACACTGAATTCCAACGCTGTTGGGTTGGGCCGGAGCCTCCCAGAATTATGGTCTTGGCCGCATTCTATTCATTTTCGACAGCTTGCACGATAGCTCCATCGGCGCCCTCGTCCAAAGCATTAAGAGTTGCCATGTCCTCCTCGGCGAGCGCGAAATCATACAAATCGGCGTTGGCCTTGATATTCTCTGGGGTGTCGCTCTTGGGGAGAGGAACCCAGTCTTTCTGTAACGCATACCTCAGGAGAATCTGGGCAGTTGTCTTGCCATATTTCTGGGCTAATCCTACCAAGGTCGGTTCATTCGCTTTATAGTTTCGGACGATGGGCGAGTACGCTTGGACAACGATACCGTGTTGTTTGCAATAAGCATCAGCCTTTTTCTGCTGGCACCATGGATGGAGCTTCGACATCACCAGTCAACGTGAGATCCAAGTAGCTAAAATCTGGTGGCTGGCTACTCACTTCTATTTGATTGACATGGGGTGGCCATGTTTTCGCATATGCTTTCATTTCTTCGATATGTTTCACGCCATAATTGCTGACACCAATGCTTCGCGTCTTTCCTTCTTCCAGCAGTCTCTCAAGGGCAAGCCACATTTGCTTCCTTTTGGCTGCACCGGCGCTGGGAGAATGGATCAAAAATAGATCAACATATCCGTCTTGCCCGCCAATCTTTCTTACACTCTCCAAGACTTTCTCATATGTTTCCTCTGGAGACCCAGCTGGCGCTATTATCTTTGTGGTCACAAAAATATCTTTTCTGTCTAAACCGGAGTTGCGAATGGCCTCCCCGACCTCCGCCTCATTGCCATAGAATTGAGCGGTGTCGATGTGCCGGTATCCAGCCTGGAAGGCAACCAGGCAAGACTTCTCGCAGACGTGCGTTGGGGACTTGTAAACGCCGAAGCCGAGACGGGGGATTTTGACGGATGAATTGGGAAGCGGGAGGAGGTCCGAGAGGGCGAGGGCTTTTGTGCTTGTGGTCGTCGGAGCCATCTGCTGCTTGCTTTGTATCTTTTGTCTTGTGAAATTGGTGGGATGTTCGCGAGGAATGGAAGAGAGGCTCTGATAAATCCTCAATACTTGATATGCGCTCTGTTTTCCCTATGACTCAGTGCTTCAGGAATGGGATGTCTGATTGAAAGAACGGATGGGCACTGATATCACGCAATCTCCCCCTCCGATTACCATGGGAAGCAAACAGTGCAAAACTAGTATTGACCCACTTTAACCAATCATAAATTACGTGGTTCTTTCTGCGTGATGATTGGGGGTCTCTCTCCACAGCTCTCATGACGTGATTCGCGGAATATTCAAAACGACCCACTAAAAGCGGACGCTATAGATCTTGGCGAGGAGTCGGAGAATTACGTCACTTGACCCGCAATAAGGGAAACAGTGGCCAATCAAACGTCGCCGCCAAGAGTGTGAGAGGAATCCACCCAAAAAGAGGAAATGACGACTTGGATATCAAATTAAATATTACAGCTCATGCCATTTCGTACGCTGACTCCCCCTTTGCTTCAATTAATGTTTTCGCCCTCAACTGGCTTGCGTGCTGACAGCTTGGACTGGACGGATTCAGAGGGGGACAGGAGATTTGTGGTTGCATTTCCTTCCAGGTCGTGTGGCCTTTTGTCCTCCGTGGCGATGCCGTTTCCTTCCTGATCAAGGCCATGGTTCGTGTCCTGGGGCATGGGGAAGTTAGCTTGTGCAAAGATTGTCAGCTGAAAAAAAGGGGGGCAAAGATTATCACCACTCACCGATTTATTCAAAGCGTCAAGGAGCTCGAGAGCTTGATCCCGGTTCCAGGCAGTCAGGAGCCTTTTGGGTATAATTGGCAGGGCCATGTCCCACATACTCAAGATGGTCAGCAATAAGCTGAATGCCACGATGATGAAAACTCCGAGGGTGCTGAGTGTGGTGTGCTCGGCGGAGTTGAATTTGACAATCGAACACACGCCCTTTACTACCGGGATCAAATCCCACATATTCTCAACGCGTGTCCGGTCCAGGCCTGGAGTCTTCACGTATCGTAACATCACTAACTGAACGCGAGCAAGCGCGACCTGGAACCAGCGCTCGATCTCGATCTTCCACTGCCCCGGCACCAGGCGAAGTTGTCTCTGATTTGCGACAAAGCGTGTGGCCAGCAATGCGGAGTTTCCGCGATCGCTAATTGAGCTGTAAATGGTTGAGTGGAATAGTGCCATACCAACAGCGGTGAATGCAGTCTCAACCGTCGTGTCATTCGCATGATCGCCGACCAAGCTCGCATAGATATTGCCATGGCTCCCGAAATAGACGCCCTCCCATTGTGTGCAGAAATTGGTATACTCGCTGCAATACATCACCATTTCCTGGCAGGCCACACTGTTGATCGGTGGCCCGATCCTGTAGAATATAAACTCCCTCCCTAGTGCATCTACTCCATCTATTCGGCTTTGAAAATTGAAGAATGGGTCGGAGAAGGGTGAATGGTACGAAATGATTTCGCCCATCACCGTGATCACTGACACCTGCATAGACTGTGTTTGTGGTCGAATGAGCGGGGAGGTTCTAGTGCCATTCATTGCCAGTTCGGTGTAGAGCCCGTATGTTTCGGAGAGGGTGCTGCGAAAATGAGTGGTCCAATTCCTGAATTCATCCAATTTGACATGGGAGAATGCCTGGATTTCTTTCGGGTCCTCAATAACATTCGCGCCGTAGCTTTGAAGGGACAGTAGCGCCTGGTCCTGGGTGTACATGAATGGTCGCCAGGGAAGTGGTGAGCAAACGGACCGACGGCGAAAGAAAAGCCGGTCAGACAACGCCGAATTCAATCCGAGGTCAGCAAATGAGACGTTCCCAGAGTCGAAGGCTACTGCGGTCCCGTTGACTTCGGAACAGACCTCCTTTGAAAATACGCATTCCGTGTCTTCGATCTGATGGGAAAGATACCGCTTCGACAACTGAGTGCATTCTGATGTGGCGTACGAGGTTGAACCATAGCAACGCCGGACATAATCGTCCGCTTCTAGAGTTGAGTTCAGCGCGAGTTCATTCAGTGTGGCAAAGGCTTCCTGCTGTTCTGCCAATGATGCATCTAATGAGGGCATCGCCTTTGGCAGCCAGTCTCCACAGTGGTCTGTTCGGATTGCCCTCACGGTCCTGCCCGTGACGATCTGCGATGTGAGGATTCCGAGCGCGACGAAAACTATCCAATGGCCAAGGGACAAGAAGACCAGGGAAAGCTGACTGACCCATCCTGGACTGCGGAGAGGGCGTTTTGTTATCGCTAGTCCTAGGAGAGCAAACAAACTACCGCCAGCGGTCTCTGAGTTTCGCAGAATAACCTGCTGTTGTCTGATGGATGATATCGAAGAGGGTTTACGGTGGCTGCGTTCAAGGGCATAGTGCGCTGCCGACGACCAGAGCTTCCAGCTGCGGCTGGCACAGAGGGTGACCAGAACTGTAAGGGCAGCCAACAGGATCAAGGCGAGATTTGTTTTCAAAGTCAGCCGATATTTGCTGATTGAGTTGCCGTCATAATCCACCCAGAAGCCAAGGTGGACGACATCTGACGTTCCCGCCCGCGCATCAATAGTTCCCATTTGTGCCGTGCTTCCTCAAACACTGTTGTCCTGGTAAGCGGTCACCGGCGAGTATGGCGACTCGAGAGGTTGAATGGATGTCCCGAAGAGGCATCTTGGAGAAACGGACAAAGCTGGGGTTGTTGAATCGATCCTGTAGCCTTGTGGCTGGCCGCTATAAACGTGGCACATAAGGCCTGTTGGAATTGCTTCACGATTTCAACCCCCTTTTGGCGTGCTCGCTTCTTTGGAGCCAATCAAGCAGCATCCAAGGCCGAAGGACCGACGCCTCAAGCCTGGCCAAGAGCGGGATTAAGCCATGATGGAGGTCCAAATGTTGCTATTCTCCCGTAAATTGACCATGAGCGGCGCGCTTCATAATTGACCTGTTGATCCGGAGCCTGGCCGAGATCGGGACGACTGGCTCAAACTGCGGTCGACTCTCCGAATGACGGACAGTCTTTGACAGGTTGAGTAATTAATAAGTGTCGTAAAGCGTATCTCCAGGCATTGCAGGGTAAAATCCAGGGATGCCCTTATGGCACAAGAACAACGAAGCGCATCACTCAGAATGAGTTGTTGTTGCGAAGAAAACGGGCACCTGGAGCTAGTTAACCTCGTTCCAGTTGCTTGACATCTTCGCCCATCGAAACACGCCGGGCGGATAAACGTCAAAGATGGCTTGACATCGATTAACTGTCAACCCCAGATCCTACTACAGGCCATTGTGTAGAGTCTTCAATTTGGATATTTTATTCTCCTCTTTCTTCAACATGTCGCATGCAATGTCATATCTTGGCCCACGGGGTGAGTAAACCGCAGAGAACCACAGGCTGCACATTGCTAACAAATTGCATTCAATTCCCCCAGCCTTCAATCATGAGCAAAACCGCGACGCTGAGGCCGAATACGATCGTCTCCGCGACCTCGCCAGACAAGAAGCAACAAAGCGCGGATCATGCTTTGAACGCGTTCGTGAAACCCCCTCCAGACCAGCTCCTTTTCCCACGCCCAACATTCATTCCTGCTTGCTGGATAATACTGAAAAAAGACCAACGCTCCCATAGTCCCAACAAGCCTACGCCGCCGGCGACGGCGCGGGCGCCAAACAGCTCTCCGAACAGGGCAAGGAACACGGCCGCCGGATGGAAGAATACAACCGGCAGGCGTCCCAGTTCATATTCCGCGAGAACAACGCCAACGGACGGGTGCCGGATGACACGATCGATCTGCACGGCCAGTTTGTCGAGGAGGCGGAGGATATCCTGGAAGAACGGATAAAATATGCCAGGGCCCACGGGCAGACGCACCTTCACGTGTACGTCACCGAATACATTTTATCTAGCCTCCGACCCCAGCCGGGACCATAGCTGACACTTTCGGTATTCTGAAATCGCAGAATCGTCGGCAAAGGGAATCACTCCACTAACCACGTCCAGAAGCTCAAACCGCGGGTGGAGCAGGTGTGTCGCGACCTTGGCCTGCAATATTGTACGGAAAGAGCCACTTTCAGCTGAATCTGTTGTGTCCGGGGTTACAACTCAGGCTTTACCGACCATCACATCGTCAGAATCACACACCGTTTTGGGACCTACCAATCTTGATGGTCAGAATAAGAGACATGCTTGGTATAGTGTCACAGGTTCCAATCCTCCACAACGAAATCCATCAATTACCAACGCTCCTCCTGATGCCAATGCACAAGCCCCGTCAGCGTCGAGCGTTGACTACCTTGCAACTGTTGCGCAAAATGAAAGCGAAATAGAGCGCCGCCATT